TTGTGAATTTGATAAATTCAATCTGGTAAATTTTATAAATTAAATTAATAAATAAATTAGTTTGAAAGTTATTATAATAGATAAGATTGAAATGCATATATGTATTAATATCTTAAAACTATTGAAACATATCTGTCTCACAACTAGAAATAGCAGACTTCCAATTCTTGAGTTCACGAATATTGATTTTTTTAGTTTTAGCATCATCACAGACTATTTTTTCAAGTTTAAACTTTCGGGTGTCTCTATTTCTCAACAAGGGTAAGTCTCTGATTACTATATGGTATGTTTGATAAATCCTATCACCGCTTATTTTACTAATCAAAAACCTTTTATCAATATCATTCCCACTACTACCACCATTTATTTCACACATATTGGGCACATTATCTTTATTGTTTACATTGTTACTATCAACCTCAGACTTTATTAAAGATTCCAATAAGCTTTGCATTATCGCATTTATTTGTGTAACTAAATCCAACAATGCATTTATTACTACCATTGCTTCATCTTGATAACAATGTCTAACCTCAATCATCTTATCAGTATCGTCCATATCAGATTTTTGATAATATGTGAATGCCTTATATTCATCACTTTCAGCATTCATTTCATTGTTATTACAATGTTTAAGAACATATTGTTCATTTGAATTATCATCTTTATCAACTCTAATTTCATCAACATTGCAGTATCCATCATTATAAATTCCATTAACATTATTCACATTGGCAGAATTTCAGTAGTAATTGACTGCCTTATGCCAATCCCTATAACTACTGATTCTACTTTAATAATAAGCAAAAGCTCTTTGTTCATTCAATTTAACTCTAATTTCATCATTAGAACAGACTTCAGCTCTACTATCAGAGCTAGATCCTCTGGATTCAACACCCTTTTCATTAGTGGCTTTGCCTATACCACTTTGACAACAGGATTTGCCATTAAATTGTCCTTTTAGATTTTCATTTTTAGCAGATTTTCGATAACAAATAGGTGCCTTGTTTTTGCTTCTTTTAATTCCATTCTCTTTTTCATAACAATATCTAGTGGTATATGTTCTAATATCATTACCTTTATCGCAGGTTTTTCCTTATCTATATCAATTTGATCTCAATATTCACCAGACTTCAAAACCCATTCAAAAGCCTCCTTGTTACCCTTTTTAACATCTATTCCAGACCAATAACAGTTTCCAAGACTGAATGCTTCACCCTCAAGATTCATATCTTTATATTCTTCATTACCAGTTTCACTTCTGTTTCTTTTCCTGGTAACACTTTCAGATATGTTTGCTGATTTCACTTCTTTGATACAATTTATTCTTTTATGGCTCACCATACTCATCTCCTTTTTATTCTTTTCTCCTTTTCTACACATTACTCTAAAATCATCCTCTATAATCATTGCATTCTCAATTTCATCATCATTGCAATATCTGACTCTATACGTTCTGTTTGCATTTTTCACTTCTGTTGATTTTTGATAATACCTGGGCCTTTTCCTTTTGTTCTTGTGACCTTCTTGCTTCACTTCTGTGAACTTCATAAATCTAATATCACTCACTTTTGGGCTTATTTGCAACAGACAAAACCAGACATAATGCCTCTTTTTCTAACACACATAACACAGCTAAGGTCTGTAGTGTTTTCCTTTTACCTTTTGTTTCTTCAAACTTTTCACCACTTTAAACACTAACCCAATCATGCCTTCAACCAACAACAACAACCGATTTTCACCTTCCATCCTCTTCAACATTACTACTCTGGTAATATTTATTTTTATTTTTTTTATTTTTTTTTTTTTACTTGTACTAACAATACTCTCTTGCTTTCTCTTATATTAACGTTACTTGTCACCTGAGATTACATGAATTTCAACAGAATTTAGTGAATAGGATCTTCGTCTACCCAGGTCCTTGTGTCAAAAACATCTACAGTATTATGGGGTCTTCATTTCTTCCCAATTCAATTCAACTTGCTTAGCTATCCATTTAGTTTAGGATAACATTTCAGATACTACCACTTTTTATTTGACATCTTCATAACTACAACGACGACCACATAGTTTATTAATTATAATGTTTTTTTGTACTAAGCAAACTCCCAATTCATTCTTAATTATTAGAGATCCTAAACTTAAATACAAGATTATCACCAGATATATTATTACTTGGGTTATATGCATTAAACTTTAAATTAAATTTATGCATCAACATTATACAAATATTGATTAAGCTATTTATGTAAATCCTGATTCTAAACGAACCTGGCACCACGAAATCACAGGTACCGAATTAACTCATGATATTACTTAAAAGCACAAGAGACAAAAACTTATTTTGTTCCTCAATATAACTCATAGGGAGGCATTGGGCAGTAGTAGTTCTTCTTTGGTTTACTAAAATATTTCTAAACATAAATATGTTCACCCATTTTTGTGAAAATATATTACTTTGTAATCCCCTATATTTTTCTTAATAACAGGATGCAGTATATAGAGAGTAAGCTTTGGCTTAAATCATAAATCAGCTTACGGTTTTTTGCTAAGTTTAAGCATCTCAAAACCATTTATATAATTCAGCTTCGAGTTCAGGATACTTAGTGCAGGCCCATTTGATAGCTTTTGTATATAAGGTACAACATTCATAAGTTCTGGTTTTTTGCTTATCCACTGCTGAAGTTGCTTTAGCTCTATTCCAAACTCATTAGCAGTTGAATATTTACTATGTCCTTTTTCATAATAAGTAATTATCATCAACTTTTCACATGCTGACTATGTTCTTTTTTTTTTGCATTATACAAGCATGCCGAGCTTTAAAGTTTTTACGAACCATCTTATTTCTTGTATATATCAGTAGCTTGTATTGGCTTAATTCTCAAGTCTTATTAGTGACTACTGGTAGTGGAATACTTCTGCTAATGTCTTGTTATCTTTGAAACCAATTTATTAAAGTGTAGCTTGCAAAGATACTTTGGATTGGTAGTACTGTATTTTTTTATTTTTTATTTTTTTTGTTAATTTTGACCTATGGGTTAGGGTAAGCAAGTAATATTTTGTTACTCTGTTTCTTAACACTAGTATTTAAATGTAAAGAAAGTTTAAGAAGTTTAAGAAAGTTTAAAAAAGTTTAAGAAATTTTTTGTATAGGAAGTTTATTGATGTTCGTTTGTATCATTATTCATATTACTTAAAAATATTGTGCACAGTATCTTTCACATAAAGTCTCCTAGCAAAAGACCCCCATACAAAGTATCTGTTATGGATCAAAATATCCACAAGTACTTTATAAATTTTTTTTTGGTTAGATTGTATTGGATCTGAGTACTTTAGTTAGTATACTATAGTAATTATATATATAAACTATCAATATATTTTAATAATATATATTATAATATTTATTTTTATATTATAGTATATTTTTATATAAATAAATCTTAAATAAGCTTTGTAAAACTTATTATTATATTGCATATTTTAAGAGCTTTTAAGCTTTTTAAAATCCTTTAATTTTTTAATTTTATTGCTTATTATTTGTTCTATTATCTTTTGATTTAATTAATTTTTTTTAATCTGTTTAAATAAATAAAAATAAAAAAACTAACTTGATTTCTTTTTTTATAATAATTTTGAATTTAATTCTTGTTTTTCATTTTTTAAAAACATATAAAATTAATTAATTTTTTTAGAAAAAAAACTATTAAAAAACTAACTTAAATTATTTTAAAATTCTAGTTATGTTATTTAAATCTAAGCTATTATTAATTATTTTTCTTTTATTAAACAAATTTGTAGTTACTTTTATTATTTTATCTTGATTTATAATATTTGCATTACAGAAAAATATATTATAAAATTTTATTTAAAGTTCATTTATAGTAATTATTATAATCAAATATTTTCAATTTTATATTTAAATTTATTCTATATTATATATTAAAAAACTATTAAATTAATTCTAAGCAAATACAAACAAGTATTTAGATTATAATACTTTATAGTTCAATAAAATTTCTCTAAAAACAGAAGATTATATAATGAAAACTATTTATATCTTGCTTGTATATCTATATCTTATGCAGATTAAATAAATACTTAATGCAAAACTAGCTATATAAACAAAGTTTTGTTTTATATATTATACTAAGCTATCTATATAAATCATGTCTTGTTTTATATTTTAGCTATATAAATTATATCTAGTTTTAAGTTTTATACTAGATTAAACTAAATATTTGTATTAAACTAGCTATATAAATAAATTTTTTGTTATATTTATTTAATGTAAGATATTTTTATTAAACTAACTATATAAACTAAATTTTATTTATTTATATTTTATACTAAATTAAATAAAATTATCTAATTATATAAACAAAAATTTTTGCTTATATTAAATTAAACTAAGTATTTGTACTAAACAAGATATATATAAAAATTTTTATTATATTTGTATATACAAACATATTTTACTAAACTAACTATAAGCAAAATCTTATTTTATTTATATTTTATACTGGATTAAACAAAATCAACTGGCTAATTATATTTGTTTTGTGCTAAACTAATTAAAATACTTATATTAAACTAGCTATATAAATAAAAAAATTTTTATTTATATATAAATATATAATTTTATCATATATATATTATTAAAAAATAATTTAATTAATTAATTTTTGTTTATTTACTAAATTTATTACTACTATATATAAAACATACTAATTACTCAATATAAATATTTAACAAATTTGATATTATATATAAAATTTATAATTATAGTATTAATTAATATATAATACTATATTTATATTATTTACCAATATTATTATTAAACTATTTTTTAATTTTTTATTTGGAAGAGTATTAAAATAAAATAATTGTCAGAGATAATGTTAATACTAAAACATGGAATTACAATTTAGAACTATAAATCCTACTAAAATCTATCTATACTTTTTATTATAAACACTAACCCTAAACCCTAACTTAACTACAAAAAATAGCTAAAAAACACACCAAAAATTTTAAAATTTCATATTAAAATAAGGTAATGTTTTAACATTATTTCTGACAGTAATTAAAATTTGAGTTAGAAGTTTTTAAAGACAGAGATTAAACAAAGATTTAAATTAAAATTATTCTTAAGATATTTAAACATTTACCTTTTGTATTTTAAATTTTTTGTTTTCCTTTACTTTGTAAAAATAGATATTCTATAGAATAGGTAGGTAATATAATAAATAAGCTTTGTTAATAATTAGTAATCATTAACTTTTTAATAGCAGAGTTACAAAGTTTGTGGAGTTTGCCCAATTATTCTATAAAATATCTATAAAAATTTTATAATTTGATTAGTTAATCTGTGTAGATTATAATTTGATTGGTTAAAAAACAATTCAGTAATATTGGTTCTTTTAATAATTTAGGAAGTTCCACTACTACTTTGGCAATTCTTAATGCAGATTATACAGTAGATCTTAATGTAATAAATTAATAATAATAATTAATTGTGATAATAACAATGTTAAAATAAATAAAAATAATAAATTTAAGAATAAATTTAAATAGCTTCTTTATTGATGCATTCCTTATTTTTATTCTTGAAGGGTTCTTGATTCATTATCTAAAGTCGATTTGTTCATTATATGAAATCATTCTTCAACACATGGATCTGCATGATATTGCTTCATGGCTTATAAGCTCTTCAATTGTATATTAGAGGCCTTCATTAGCAAAGAAAATTAAGCAATGTTTGATGGATAAGTGTTGCTATAACAAGTATTTAAACATAATGAAAAAAATTCAGAATTTTAGTGTTATCCAATGTATTGTTTTGCAATAAAATTATGTGTTGAACATTTATATTGTTAAAATTCAAAAAAAAGTGGAGTAGCATAGTCATGGCACAAAAATTTGTCGGTGATGTAATATCTGAGCTGATCGGACCAAAACTTAAGGTCAGAAAAATACCTAAGACGGGTTAATCTAACTAAATCAGTTATATCAAGTATTTTTCCGAGCTTAAGTTTTGGTCCGATCAGCTCGGATATTACATCATCACAAATTTTTGTGCCAAGACTATGTTACTCAAAAAAGTATGTTACCTGCTTTAGTGTAAAATTAACATTATATGACCTCTAAAAATCATAAGAAATTCCAAATCCACTTAAATTCCGTTGTCACACACAACACATATAATAACAAATGTCTAACATGAAGAAAAA